AAAAAAAGACAAAAAAAAAATATATATATATATATATATATATATATATATATATATATATATATATATATATGCAACAAACTTAGAATACCCAAAACAATTCTGAAAAAGAAGAAAAAAGTTGGTGGATTTACACTATCTGATTTCAAACTTACTGTAAAGCCATAGTAATAAAGACTGTAGTATTAGCACAAAGACAAGCATATAGATCAGTGGAAGAAAACTGAGAGTCCAGAAATAAACCCTCACATTTATGGTCAATGATTTTTGTACAAAGGTGCTAAAATAATTCAAGGGGAAAAGGATATAATCTTTCAACAAATAGTGCTAGAACAGTTGGAAATCCACATGTCAAGAATGTACTGAAACCCCTACTTTACTCCATCCATCATGCACACCATCAAAAATTAACTCAAAATGGATTGTAGACGTACATGTAAATGGTAAAATTATAAAACTTCCAAGAGAAAACATAGGAGAAAAACTTCATGACCTTGACCTTGGGTTGGGAAGAGTTCAAAACAACACTGATACACAAAAGAAAAAAACTGATAGATTGGACGTCATCAAAATTTAAAACTTTTGAACTTCAAAAGATACCATTAATATTCAGATCCCTAGGGCCGGGCCCATGGCTCACTTGGGAGAGTGCGGTGCTGATAACACCAAGGCCACGAGTTCGGATCCCTATATAGGGATGGCTGGTTAGCTCAGTGGGTGAGCGTGGTGCTGACAACACCAAGGGTTAAGATCTCCTTACCAGTCATCTTTATAAAAAAAAAATTCAGGGCCGGCCCGGTGGCGCACTGGGTAGTGCGCTGCTTGGGAAGCGCGGTGGCGCTCCCACCCGAGGGTTCGGATCCCACATACGGACCGGCTCCCGCTCACTGGCTGAGCGAGGCGCGGGAGCAACGCCGAGGTTTGCGATCCCGTTGCCGGTCCCTGGTCCGGTACGGGGGCAACACTGAGGGTTGCGATCCGTTGCCGGACACGGAAAAAAAAAAGACAAAAAAAAAAAAAAAAAAAATTCAGATCCCTGTACTTGCAAGCCATCAAAAAAAAAAAAAAAGATACCATGAAGAAAAGAAAAGAGATATTTGTATACTCATGTTCATAGCATTATTCATAATAGCCAAAAGGTGGAAGCAACCCAGGAGTCCATCAATGGATGAATGGACAAACAAAATGTGGTGCATACATATAATGAAATAGTATTCAGCATTGAAAAGGAAGGACATTCTGACACATGGTACACCATGGATCAAATAAGCCAGTCACAAAAAGAAAAGTACAGTATGATTCCATTTACATCAGAGTAGTCAAAGTCATAGAAACAGAAAGTAGAATGAAGGTTGCCAGGGCTTAGGGAGAGGGAGGAAAGAAGAGTCATTGTTTAATGGGTACAGAGTCTTGCAAAATGAGAAGAGTTCTGTGGATGGATGATGGTGATGGTCGCACAACAGTGTAACTGTACCTAATGCCATTGAACCCTCAAAAAGGGTAAGATGGTAAATTTCATGAATATTTTCCCACAATTAAAAATTTTTTAAAAGGTATCATTAAGAAAAGGAAAAGAAGCCATAGGCTAAGAAAAAATATTTGCAAATCATATTGGAAGTCCTATTGCAGTATTTAGGATCTATAAAGAATACTTACAACTCAATAAGAAGAAGATGACCCAGGCCACCCCGTGGCTCACTCGGGAGAGTGCGGTGCTGATAACACCAAGGCCACAGAGGGATGGCCGTTGGCTCACTGGCTGAGTGTGGTGCTGACAACACTAAGCCAAGGGTTGAGATCCCCTTACCGGTCATCTTTAAAAGAAAAAAAGAAGATGACCCAGATTCAGAATGGAGAAATGTTTTAAATAGACATTTCTCCAAAGGAGAAATATAATGGCTAATAAGCACATGAAGATATGTTTGGCATTGTTAATCAGAATGGCTTAATCAGAATGGCTATAATCAAAAAGACTTAACAGGGGCCGGCCCCATGGCTCACTCGGGAGAGTATGGCGCTGGTAGTGCCGAGGCCGCGGGTTCAGATCCTATATAGGCATGGCCGGTGCGCTCACTGGCTGAGTGTGGTGCAGACAACACAGAGCCAAGGGTTGCGATCCCCTTACCGGTCAAAAAAAAAAAGACTTAACAGTACCAAGTGTTGGTGAGGATGTGAAGAAATTGGAACCCTCAGCATTGCTGATAGGAATATAAACTGGTACAGCTGGTGTGGAAAACCATTTGGCAGTTTATTAAAAAGCTCAACCTAAACTTAACATATAACCCAGCAATTCTACTCCTGGGAATCTACTCAATAGAAATTGAAACAGTCTGTCCCCACAGACACAGGTACACAAATGTTCGTAGCAGCATTATTCATAATAGCCAAAAACTGAAAACAATCTAGATATCCATCAACTAGTAAATGGATAAACAAAATACAGTATATCCATACAATGGAAAACTATTCAGCAATGAAAGTGTACAAACTACATATACATGCAGTATCATGGATAAACCTCAAAAACAGTGAAAGAAGCCAGACCCGAAAGACTTTGTATTGTATGAGTCCATTGATATTAAGTGTCTAGAAAAGGCATATTTTATAGAGGTAGAAAGCACATCAGTGGTTGCTTAGGGACTGGAGTGAGCATGGGTATTATCTGTAAACAGGTACAAGGTATCTTACTGGAGTGATGGAAATGTGGATTGCGGTGATGGTTGTACACCTCTAAATTTTCCACAATCGTTGGATTATACACTTACAATGGGTGAATTTTATGAGATAAATTATACCTCAGTGGGCCGGCCCGGTGGCGCACTGCTACAGTGCGCCGCTTGGGAAGCGCGGTGGCGCTCTCGCTGAGGGTTCGGATCCCATGTGCAGACCGGCGGCTCACTGGCTGAGCGAGGAGCGGGGGCAACGCCGAGGGTTGCGATCCCGTTGCCGGTCCTGGTCCGGTACGGGCGCGACACTGAGGGTTGCGATCCGTTGCCGGTCACGAAAAAAGACAAAAGGACAAAAAAAAAAAAAAATTATACCTCAGTGAAACTTTTTTTTAAAAAGATGGTGCCTATCTCAGAAGTTCTTATAAGGATTTATTAATACAAGTCCTGGGTATAAACTAGGTATTCAATAGATTAAATTATTGTTTATTGTTGTTATTGATATATAGCAACAGCATCTACTGTTAAGACTTCAGAGTTAGTCACATAGAACCTAAAATCCTACTGTAGAAAACCAAAAAAGAAAGAAGGAAAATTTAGCTAAAGCCTAATTTTGTATATCATTTACTGACTTCTCATTTAGTGCAGGGTGGAGTAGGGCACTAACATTTTTGAATAATGAAATCATAGAAAAGAGTGACAAACTTTTTTTGTACATTTGTAATCTTTCCTTTTTAGGGGGAGTAAAACTTGGATTAGGAGATTTCATTTTCTACAGTGTTCTGGTTGGTAAAGCCTCAGCAACAGCCAGTGGAGACTGGAACACAACCATAGCCTGTTTTGTAGCCATATTAATTGTAAGTATATGTTAATAAAAATGTGTCAAAACTGATTACTGTATCCCTTTAAGGCAGTTCTGCTTCAACCCCAGGTGGGCTGAGTGTTCCAATTCACCTAAGGAGCTTTTTAAAAACACAGATAATTAGGGCTGGCTGGTTAGCTCAGTTGGTTAGAGAGTGTTGTAACACCAAGGTCAAGGGTTTGGATCCCCTTATGGGCCACTGCAAAAAAAAAAAATTGAGCCTTACTGTGGCCACACATTAGAATCACCTGGGAGCTTTTAAAATTGTGAGTTCTGCCCTGAAATATTCTTAATTAATTTGTTTTAATTGTGTAGTTTTTAAACATTCCCTGGGAAATTCTGATAAAGCAGGATACAATGCTTCAAGCCCAGTGGCATAAATATGTATGAAGCTAGTTCTGCTAGAGATCAGTCTTCAAAGGAGTAAGCAGAGCCTCACCTACTCCATGGACTTAGTCACTGAAGGTTCGGTTGTTGTTTTGCGTTTAATGACACAACCTGTAGAATACAGTGTAACTCTGGGCTGCAAGTATAAAATGAGAGAAGCTAACACAATGCGTGATTCCGCGTAGATCTTGGATTACAATGCCACAGCATGAACCCTGAAGCTTTCAAAACTATGACAAGTAAATAATCCATAAAATGTTTTTTACTGCTATTTTTACTAAAGATGTGATGATATCTTTGACATATAGTAAGTGAGTAAAGTCAGATGAGATTTAGGTAAAAGCTCATGTATTTATTTTGTGATTACATTTGTGATTTATCATGATAATATAACCTGTTAGAATTTTTACGTGTTTTATCTCTCTTCAGAGGCTAGTTTTCTGGATTTGAAAGTATTTATTGGATGTGTTGTATCTTTTAAGAAAAAAATTACTTATTCTAAATGAACTGAAATGGTGCCCAGCCTCCAGACTATACAGTTAGTGTCTCAGAACGTAGGGTAGAATATGAACTATATTAAATGGCTGTTCTGTGTTTACAAGAAAGCAGTATAGTCTTCATAAACAAACTTTTATCAGTTTGTTCTATGAGCATCTCTTTGTCCCAACACAGCATAAAGAATGCTCTTCACCTCTGGGATTTTTACCAGCCAAACTAAAGTCACAGAGGCCAATTCAGTAGTTTAGATAGAAATTTCAGTAGTGTGTAGTTTTTTTTCAAAAATAGTTTTACTTATTTTCAGATGCTGTTTCTTTCCTGAGAAATTACAGGATGAAATGTCAACAATGCATACATAGTAAACTATGTAGCAAAGGAAGTAAATGTTGTTTCCCTTTATCAAGAAGCTACATTTTGTTTTCATAGCTCTTCTTCCAGATTTACTGAAACATTTGTTCTCAAATTTAACCCCAATGGAAGGTATTCAGTTAAGTAAGTTAAAACCAAGACTTGCAGTTGAGTTGTTCTGCATGAAGTGAGCTTGTGTCTTTTCCTGTCTTCCCCACAGGGATTGTGCCTTACATTATTACTCCTCGCCATTTTCAAGAAAGCATTGCCAGCTCTTCCCATCTCTATCACTTTTGGGCTTGTTTTCTACTTTGCCACGGATTATCTTGTGCAGCCCTTTATGGACCAGTTAGCATTCCACCAGTTTTATATCTAGCATATTTCTAATTAGAATCCCATGGATGTTTCTCCTTTGACTACAATAAAATCTGGGGAGGACAAAGGTGATTTTCCTGTGTCCACATCTAATGAAGTCAAGATTCCTGGCTGGACTTTTGCAGCTTCCTTCCAAGTTTTCCTGACCACCTGCACTATTGGACATTGGAAGGAGATATCTACAGAAAATGGTTTTGAACAAACTTCACTGAGGTGAACTATGTCCCTCGGTGCAAAAACTACCAGATTTGAGGGACGGGGCGAGGACACACGACGGGCAAGAAGCTCTGAGCTCCACCAGTGGCTTGACCCCTGGTCACAGGGAGGTTTTACCAACACCGCGGACTCTCAGGACTGCTGTAACCAGAAGGTTAAATGAAGCAGTTTAAATCAAACAGAACTGTTCATCTTAAACTTCATGTTGAAAATCAACTTAATAAATCTGTGTCAATTGAATTCTGAACCTTTTCAGGAGGTACTATGAGGAGAGCAGGCACCAGCAGCAAAATGGGAAGGTGGAAAGGGCTCGGGCTTTCACTTTCAGACTTTTCGGCTGCAGACATAATCTTTAATAAGACTTTTTTTTTTCACCTCAAGTCCAGTCAGATATGTAGGTTGATTTTGACAGTTTGGTTCCCAAGCACTGAAACTCACCATCTCTAGTTGCCATATCTTCCCAAGGCCAGTCTGAATTAGTTAAAGATTGCTTTAAAGTCTTAACCTCAGGTTCCAAATTCAGTAATTTCTGGAAATAATGGAACTATTGCTCAATGACTCCCTATCATCCCTAAGTAAATTTTGGATTTTCCACCAAATTCCTGATTTTTAAACATACTTGTAAGTTCACTTGCCCCCAGTGCCTCCTCTGTCCCTATCTCTCCTGTCATTCCCCCACAAGCAGTCCTCTTCTGCAAGCAAATGAGGCAGTTCTGTCGTGGTAGCAGATGACCCTGTCATTCTAAGAGTTTACTCTATGTGTGATGCAAAGAATGTGTTCTGAGTCAGTGCTGTCAGCCTTGCTGTCACAGCTTCTTTGGTAGCAAATAAGATGTGTGCTCAAAGACAGTAGAATTAAAGGAGAGTAAAATGGCTGGTGAAGCACTTTCTGTCCTGGTTTTTCTTTTTTTACTACAACCCACTGTCTCTGACAGTAGGCCAGAATTTGAACTAATAGCCAGAAGCTGGTGGTTTATAAAGTGAGTGACTCAGTTTATCACTACAAAGCAAGAGTTGGGAGAAAGCCATTATTTTACTTGGTGAGCCATGGGAGAATCTGGGGTCAGGAGGAGAAAAAAAGGGCCTCCAACAGCCCAGGGGACAGAATGAGCTAATGGCCCAGGGGCAGATGTTGAGGAGAGCAGGTTATTGCTCCAGAACATCACAAAGGGTTCTTTGTGGTCTCCTGGCTGCACCACCTGCACTCAAAGTACCTTTGTGGGAATTGGGCAGTGAAGGTGCTGACTGCAGTTACCACGGAGTTTAGCCACACAAAGCACATCAATAGAGCTGTCAGCCTATGGGCACATGACACCCCTAAATGAAGCCTTGCCAGGGCACACCCTTCTTTTACCAGAGAACCCTTAGCCATGGTGATCAGACTAAGCATTTGTGAGAAACTCAGTTTCCTTCTGTGGCTGAAGGAGGAGACTTTTGCTCTCATGTGCTGCTCTTTCTCCCAGGCTTTCATGGGATATGGTTTGGGGATTTCCCTTGGAGTTTAGAATATTTGTTTTCTGGGCCGGCCCGGTGGCGCACTGGAGAGTGCGCCACTTGGGAGCGCGGAGGCACTCCCGCCGAGGGTTCGGATCCCATGTGGAGACCGGTTCCCGCTCACTGGCTGAGCGCAGTGCAGGTGCAACACCGAGGGTTGCGATCCCGTTGCCGGTCAGTAAAAAAAAAGACAAAAAAGGAAGAAAAATAAAAAGAATATTTGTTTTCTGTCACGGGATATTTCTTATAAAAAAGTAACTTTTGGAGTACTGTACTACTAACCTGAGTATAAGTAACAACTGGCTCATATTAGGCAGTTGAGAACAGGAAAAATAAGAGCTATACAAAGAAGGAGTGGGGCTTAGAGGAGTAGGTTCTATCATCTCTTTTTTTTTTTTTTTTTCCCCATTTAGCCCCTTTTTCCAAGATTCTCTTTTTCTTCTCTCGGACATGTGGCACTATGGGAATTATTTTCTAGAAAACACAGCTATAACAAACCCAATTTGTGAACACCAATTTTTGATTCTAAGCATTCTTGAGGGATCTCTATCTAGTGTACTTTATTTGTACAAGCTCTCAAATGTGTTATATCTTCAATGACAAGAGTCCCTGCAGAAGAGGGAGAGTGTGTGTGTGTGTGTATGTGTGTGTTTAATGGCTGGTTAGCTCAGTTGGGTAGAGCACAGCCTTATAACACCAAGGTCATGGGTTCAGACCCCCATACCAGCCAGCCACCAAAAAATAAGTAAAAATAAATCCTTATTGTCCTAAAAAGACAGCAATAATTCTATCAATTTCTGCAAGTTTGAACTACATCTCAGCCACATTAAATGACAGCATAGAGAACCCACCTTATTTCTTTAAATCACTGATCTCAGACACAGGACTTTTCTTTCCAAACGTTCTTTTTAGAATCAGTTCACAGTCATTCCTGAAGTATCAAAATGTTAATTTTCCACCATGAAGGATAGATTGTCACCAGAGGGGACAATAAGCAGTTTCAGTGAGGATGTGCCTTCACACAGGAGAGGGGGTGGCTGTGGAGCCAGCAAAACTGAAAATAAAGCATGACCAGCCAAGCCAACCTGCTTAATGAAAAGAAGAAAGACACTAGGAAGAAACAGCCACTAAACGTTGGGGTCTGACTGGCCTTCAGTATAAAGGATATTTTTAGACAGAATGTCGCTACAATGCCTATGGGAATTCCAGCCATATTTGGAATATTTATACAGTTTTATTCAGGGAGGAAGAGCTCACCTTCCTTTTTTTGTTGTTTGGGGGGTTTTATTGGTGGCTGGCTGGTATAGGAATCCGAACCCTTGACCTTGGTGTTATCAACACCACACTCTAACCAGCTGAGCTAACCAGCCAGCCTTCACCTTTTTCTGAGTCTCACTAGGTTAGTCAGTGGTCCTAGGGTCACAGCTCTCACTCTAAATGACTAAATTTCTCCATCAGAAAAAAATGGAGAGAGAGAAGTTTTCTAAGCAACTTGGAAGAACAGTCGTAAGTAAGCAATTTATTTCTCTCCAGAAGCAACAATAAGGGATTTTTCCTGGTCCCCATTTTTCAGTGTCCCTCTGGTGTTAAAAACCCTCATTCTGTAATAGATGCCCAAACACATTATATGTTTAGCACTTGTTCTTGGCCTCAAACAACTTATAGTCATATGTCACTTAACGATGGGGATACGTTCTGAGACATGCGTTGTTAGGCGATCTTGTCATTGTGCAAACAGCATAGACTATACTTATGCAAACCAAGATGGTATTGCCTACCGCACACCTAGACTGTATGGCATTGCCTGTTGCTCCTCTGTCAGTAGTAATGCACTGCGCCATGCATCACTAGGTGATAGGAAATTTTCAGCTCCATTATAATCTTATGGAACCTCAAACTTATATGTGGTCTATCACTGACCAAAATATTAATGCGGTGCATGACTGTATATGTATTCTTGATCATGATTTGTAGAATGTGAAACAGAGGTTAAACTACCAAATAAGATCTTCCATGGTCAGACATACAAAGGAAGCCTCTTATCCAGATCCCCAGAGCCAGGTTTTGCATATTTGGCCACTCATGATCTAACCCTGGAAGAAAAAGCACAGAAACCACTAGGAAAAGATTTGTTCAATGTCTTATGTGTTCCTGGCATGGTGCTGGAGTCACCGTAAACAAGACAATTTTGCAAGGATGCAAAACGAATATGGTATAGTCTTGGAATGGAGCTCTAGTCTCTTGTTTTCTAGTATATGACATTTTAAAACTTCTCTAAAATATTGGGTATTTGTCAGTAACCACTTCTTTTTTTTTTTTTTTTTTAAAGATGACCAGTAAGGGGATCTCAACCCTTGGCTTGGTGTTGTCAGCACCACGCTCAGCCAGTGAGCAAACCGGCCATCCCTATATAGGATCTGAACCCATGGCCTTGGTGTTATCAGCACCACACTCTGCCGAGTGAGCCACGGGCCGACCCTGTCAGTAACCACTTCTCATAGTTCCCACTACTAAGGGCTTATAAAATTGATGTTATAAAGGTGACTTGATTCTTTCAGAAACAAATCCTTTCAGTAAACTACTCCCCTTTCTCTAAATTTGCTTTCGGATAGACTATAAAGACACGTGTGACCTGCCATTCTCACCTCCAAGGGTATCCTGAACACTGAATTTGGGAAGATACTTGGAAATTGGACCCTTGGGAAGGAAGCAATATCATATCATCATTATAAGTTTGAGCCCTGGGCCGAGCCTGTGGCGCACTCGGGAGAGTGCGGCACTGGGAGCACAGCAGCGCTCCCGCTGCAGGTTCGGATCCTATATAGGGATGGCCGGTGCGCTCACAGCGCTCACTGGCTGAGCGCAGTGCGGCAGGTCTCAAAAAGGACAAAAAAAAAAGTTTGAGCCCCAAAGTGATCCTTGTGATCTCACCTCTTTTTAAATTCCTCATGGGCCGGCCCGTGGCTCACTCGGGAGAGTGCGGTGCTGATAACACCAAGGCCCCGGGTTCAGGTCCCATATAGGGATGGCTGGTTCGCTCACTGGCTGAGTGTGGTGCTGACAACACCAAGTCAAGGGTTAAGATCCCCTTACCGGTCAAAAAATAAATAAATAAATAAATTCCTCAAACACAAGAGGTTAAAAACCCTGGTTTTAGCTCCTCACAGGGCTTGTCGAGATTGAGGGCCAGAGCACACCAACAAGACTGTTCTCGTGCTTGCGACATAGAATCACCTACGCGTCATCATCTGAACGGTCCTCTCCTCTGGTAGGAAACACCTCAGATTTGTGTATTAAAAATCACTCATGCTGAAATGAACCCCTTTCTTGAACATCAAAGTCATCTCCCAGGGTGTTGGGCAGTGGAGCACCTCTTGCCGGATGCTGGTTTTACCCTGGGCCCTGGAACGTGGTGTTGGCACTTCCCCTTGATCTATGTAGCGGGAAAGATGTCCCAGAAACAGTTTTTTCTTTTGGAATACATAACTGTAGAAATGAGGTAGCTTCAACATCAACTGCATAAAGTAGCAAGTACAGGATTGTCTTGTTTACGGTGTGATTTGGAGATGCCGGGATGAAGGTTTCAGGGGGACCATTTATTCTCATGCATTCATCATCTGGCTTCTGCTTCTACGGACACTGCCTTGTACATAATTCAGACTGTGAATACATCTTTTTTATAAATTCCTTTCAAATTCTTGGTAAGATCTAATTTTGATAGATGACTGCAGATTTTCCCGTATTTGTCAAAGGCTGCATGAATCAGTTGTGCTAGTTTTCTTATGTGAAAGTATTATGATGTGTAACTCTGAGAACTGTTTAGCAGTTATCAAGAAACGGTTTAGAAACAGAAATGCGTTATTTCTATCCTTCACGCATGATAAAGTGGTACGGATTACAGCAGGCCGCACCTCTGAAGGGTGCGATATTAAATCTGTGTATAAAAGTCTCAAAACAACCATTCTTAATACTTAGTTTCTGAAAAATGTTTTTTCTAGAAACTTCCACATTAAAGATGGTCAAAACAAATTACAGACTTACAGGACATGTATATAATTGTTATAATACAATGCAGATATTTCACGTGCTAGAGCATTATCCTAAAAAGAAATTATTACGTAGGTGACACTAATGGAAGAAAGCAACATTACTTTTATTGGCCTGGCAGGTCATAGAATATCCTCTCACTCCATCTCCAAACTCTACAAAACCTTTTGTTCCTAAGCAGTGAATAACATGAACATTGCTGGAAATGATTGCTCAGAAGTAAGTTGTGGCAGAAAAGCCACAGTTGGCCATTGTCTTCAGAAGGAGCAGAGAAGAGGTGGCGGCGTTCCTGGCTACAGCAGCTGAACGCATCAGGAAGCAGGGAATGTTCCTCCTCTCTTTCC